TTTTTTTTTTTTTTAAGTTTTTGCCATAGAGTGCATGTGCCCCCAGAGAGACAGAGACAGTAGGAGGGAAAGTCAGAAATCACCCCCCGGGGGGATGGCCACGTCGCAGTCCCTTCTCCTAGGTCTGTGGGCATACACGCATGCACACACACACACATACACACACACACACACACGGTGTGAGTTTCAAGCAACTAAGTCCAGGACTCGAACTACGGTCAGCCATGTGGAAGTCCAGCAACTACGCCTAATCTGTGGCGTCCACTCGTCCCCAAAATGGGACCACTATGCCCACCTGCTGGTCCCTCCCCTGCCTTTGTCTGGAACCACCACCCCAGCATCCCGCCTGCAGGAAGATGGCTCCGAGCATGTTTGGGGGTCCCTGGTCCCTAGCAGGTGCCGCCGTGTTGTCTGCTCCTTGAGGAAAAGTAGCCGTCATTTCTGGGTTTGCTACAAGCTTCACAGAATGTTTTCTTCCCCTTCGTTGGCAGGTGGGCATCAACTACCAGCCCCCCACCGTGGTCCCCGGGGGAGACCTGGCCAAGGTGCAGCGGGCCGTGTGCATGCTGAGCAACACCACGGCCATCGCCGAGGCCTGGGCCCGCCTGGACCACAAGTTCGACCTCATGTATGCCAAGCGGGCCTTCGTGCACTGGTACGTGGGAGAAGGCATGGAGGAGGGCGAGTTCTCCGAGGCCCGGGAGGACCTGGCAGCCCTGGAGAAGGACTACGAGGAGGTGGGCGTGGACTCCGTGGAGGCAGAGGCAGAAGAAGGGGAGGAGTACTGAGCGGCGGGGAGGCCGGCAGGCGGCAGGTGGGCCTCTGCGGTGCACTCCCACCGTTGTCCGGCATGGCTATGTTCAGGTTGTTCACAATTAAAGTTTCTGTACAAAACACAACCTCGGTCTGTCCTACACTGGGTCCTGCCCGCCGGAGTGGGGAAACATGCAGCATTTCAAATCTGAGGTACCAAAGCATACATATCAGCTAAGTCCAGGGTGGCAGCTGGCGAGGTGGTTAAAAAGCACTGCACTCCCACATGGCCGACAGTGGTTCAAGTCCTGTGCCTGGTGGCTTGCTCTCCTCTCACTCTGTCTCTTGTCAGATTAGATAATAGTGAATAAAAGAATTCTTTAAAATAAAAAAAAAAAAGATCAGCTAAATCCTAGGAAAATTGAGTTAGGTTTTCCGGTTGAATTTGCTACTTTTCGGGCTTCTCCATCGATGGGATGTGCTGACCAAAGTTAGAACTTGGTGTTTCACTCTGAGGTGTGTGGGTGGGGCCATGGTTGGCTGTCAGATATGAGAGGTCAGGGGACTTGGAGGAAAGCGGGCATTCATGGTCCACAGGCGGTCACAGCCCACCCACCCAGACGTCACACTGAGGTGACGTGGAGACGGCGTCTCCCTCGGTGCTCGGATTACCACTGCCGCCAGCACTAGGACACGTCACGCCTAGCCCACGCGACACGATGTCTGTTTATAAGAACCTGCAACACATAGGTTTCCTCTCGGGCCCAAAAATCAGATTCAGGAGGTGAAGTTGCTGGCTTTTCACCCGGTTGCAGCCGTAGTGGGATCAGGACCAGCGGGCGGGACTCAGCTACGTCTTTTTTTGGGGGGGAGGGGGGAGAGATTTTTGCTATAGGGCGCATGCGCTCGCCAGACAGAGACAGAAAGCGAGAAATCACCCCCCACGGGGGATAGTCATGCCGCAATCCCTTCTCCTCCATTCACCTCTTGGGATCTTGGGCATGCACGCACACGCGCCCAGCGTGAGTTCTAAGCCACCGGGTCTGAGACGCGAACCGCGGTTGACTACATGGGAGTCCAGCGACATAGCCATTATCCGTGTCATCTTTTTTTTTTTTTTTTTTTTAAGGTTTGCCACAGGGTATGCGTGCCCACTAGTGAGCGGGAAAGTGAGACATCTTCCCCCAGGGGGGTGGCCGCGCTGCCGTCCCCGCATCCTCCTCAGGATTTTGGACACATGTACACGCACCGCCAGGTCCAGGACTCCAGCTGTGGTCGGCCATGTGAGAATCAGTGCCTTAGCCACTCCGCCACCTGCTGTGCCTTAACATACTCAAGAAGTGGTAGATGGGGACCAGCAGGTGGCATGGTGGTTAAGGGTGCTGGATTCCCACATGGCTGACTGCAGTTTGAGTCCTGGGCCTGGTGGCTTGCTTTCTCACTTTCTCTCTTGTCTGGTCAAGCTAAAAAATAACTATAATGGGACCAGCAGTTAGCGTAATGGCTATGTCGCTGGACTCCCACGTAGTCGACTGCAGTTCACATCCCAGAGCCAGTGGCTTAAACTCTCACCAGGCGCATGTGCGTGCGTGTCCGAAATCCTGAGAGGAGAATGGAGAAGGGATTGCAGCGTGGCCATCCCCCCTGAGGAGTGATTTCTCCCTTTCTGTCTGTCTCTCTGAGTCTGTCTGGCAAGTGCATGCACCCTATAGCAAAAACCTCTCCCCCCTCAAAAATTATAGTAAATGGAATGAAACAATTAGAAAAAAAAAAAAGTGGTAGAGTATGGTCTAGACCCTCAATTTTTCAAAAAGTTTATTACCGGTCGGGAGAAACAACACGTAGCCTCTGCTTTGCAGAACGGGGGGCCTGTGGCGGGCCTGGAGGGGAGTCTCTGACTCGGCTAGGTGCTGTTCCTGGTGGGGCTCTTCCCGGGCCCGCCGCCCTTGGGCAGCCTGGTGGCACTGGGCTGGCGGGGCAACCTCTGGCTGGATCCTTCCCGGCCGCCGCGTTCGGCCAGTGCCGGCGCCCCACCCAGCGCGGCGCTGCCTCTGTTTCTCCCTGGGTGGACACAGAACGCTGCGGTCAGCACGGGCAAGCTCCACCAGCCCAACTCTGCTTTCCTCGGGTGACGTTCCCGTCAAAGCCGTTCCCCCCGATCCTCAGGCTGCGAGCTGCCCTGGCAGGAGGCAGGGGGGCTCCCAATGGGCCCCGGGGATGAAGTGTGAAGCCCGATGGGAAGCTGTGGAAGACATACCATGGGTCAGTTCAAGGACGGCAAGCCCTGCTGGTTCACACCTGGCCTGGGCAGCAAGTGCGGTCTGCCCTGTGCCAGCAGTGGGCACGCTCACACTGGACCGCCCGTCCATCCCGACTGTGCCAGGCAGGAAGCACAGCAGCCGCCAAACTGAAGTTGGGTTTCTCACTTTGGCTCTGAAGCGCCTTCTCCCCGGTTTGCTCCTACCTACCGAGAGGTGGTCCAGCTTCTTGCTCGGGTTTGGCTATTGGATCTCTCATCCGGGTCCTGCCAAGGCTCGACCCTCGGACAGCCACGCTCACGGGAAGACACTGGTTCAGACAGTCCCTGACTTGTGAATCGCTTACTGGCTTGTGAAGACAGCCAGAAACCTGCACCCACATTTGGGCCAGAACTTCATTTTAAAGCAGAGTGGTTCTGGAGCTCAGGGTGTTCGAGCACCAGCAAAACCGAGAACCCCACTGAGGGCAAACCATACCCAGGGCCCAGATGTGCCCACAGGGTCACGGTCCCTCCCACGCTCGCCTCTGCTCTGGCCTGGCAGGCAGGCTCTGCTCCTTGGGTTCTAAACCAGGATTCGGTCTCCTCTGTCCTTCCTGAGAGACACGAGTGCCCGGACCGCCCTCTGGCTTGTCCTCCAGGCCTGAACTCAAGCTGGGACTGCGATGAGCCTTGTAGGTTTGTTGCCGGAAACACTGAAAGACGGGACGTGTTTGCTAAAGGTCGCAGGGCAGCGCTGCCCCCAGCAAATGCCTTGAATCCTCATCCCAGCTCCACTCTGTCTCTACCCTGGACACACCTCGGTAGACCGTCTCTGGTTGCTGGAGGATGCACAGCGCCCCCAATTAAATGCGGACTCGTCACCCTGGCATTCAGAGCTTCCTTAGGAATCCCAGCCAGCCACATTGCAGGGCGGTTTGGGGCACTCCCTGGTGGGAATTCCCCGGCTGCCACTTTCAGCGTGACAGGTTTGGCTGGACGGAACACCCAGCCTCAGTCCAGTTCCCCCTGGCACCTTTGACATTCATCAAATCGCCTGCAGTGGAGAACTATGAGTTCCTGGAGGAGAGGTGCAACGGGGAGTCTTGGGGATCTGTCAGGCCCCCCCCACTTCACAGCTCACCACCCTGAGCAAGCCTAGGCATCTCAGCATGTCAGCCTCGGCTCCTCCTCGCCTCACTGCCAACTCACTGACCATGTCCTCTACAAAGTTCTCCCCAGGATTCCTGCGGAGATAGGCCAGCCGTAGGACTTCCTGGAGAGTTCTTTCAGAACAAGGGGATCTTTGCTGCCTGGTGCTATGGGGAGGGCTGTCCCAGCCTTCCTTTGGTTTCTCCCAGCCTGGCCCCCTGACTTCATGTTCAAGTGCTCCTGAACACGATTCGGCAGAGACACAGTGACAGGTTACCCAGAGCCCAGGATGGGTGCTGCCTGGGGCATGCAGTGGGGGAAGGTGGGCCAGCTCAGCCTCCCAGGGACTCGGGAGAGATGTAAGTAGAGACCACCAGCCTGGCTCAGGGTAGGTTAGCACCCAGCTGGCCCCTGCAGATGGCAGGGCAGGTCTCAGCCCCCAGGCCTGACCCTAAAGCCCTGTTCCTCAGTCGGCCCCCATCTGAGTTTCCCCCTTCCCCTTCGCCGTAATGACCAGGTCATTTCTGGAAACCCAAGAAGCATGAGAAAGGCTGGCTCCATGCATGGCAGTAATGCACCGCTCAAGGGAAGCTGGGTTCCACGTGGCAACTGTGGTTCAACCCCCCAGCCTGGTCACTGCAGAGGGAGCTCGCCTGTGTCTTGGTCACGTGTGCATCCGCTCTATCATGGATAAAGGGGAAAGATGTTTTCAAAGATAACAATAGGATGAGAGGAATGCGGAAAAGAGCCAGTGAGGTTCGTCTTTAAATCGGAAAGACCGATCAGCCCTGGAAACATGAAATCCACATAGCCCTGAGCCACAGGAGACAGAGCGCACTAATGATGCAAACAGGCCCGGACAAGGGATTGTGGAATGGCTATGTCCCATGGGAGGTGCTTTCTCACTTTCCCTCTTTTTCCTCTCTGACAAGTACATGCACCCTCTGGCAAAGGTAAAAAAATAAATAAATAAATTGGTGCTCCTACCTGATAGCTGGTTCAGGAGCATTTGGCCACGAACCCAGGGAGACAAGCTAGTATCTCGGTACTCAGTGTTTGGTGACACCCCAGTTTGGCAAACCTCCAGAATGCACCCATGATTCAAGGTGTGCCTGAAGCCGGGAGCGGACCAGACCACACGTGACCCACTCTGCCATTAACCTCCCCTGAAACTGTGGGTGGGACATAAAGGTTTGTTATCGGGACCAGCAGGTAGCGTGGTGGTTAAGGTGCTGGACACTCCCACAGGGCCGACCCCGGTTCAAGTCACAGACCTGGTGGCTTGCTTTCTCACTTTCTCTGTGTCTCTCTCTAGTCAAATTAAAATAAGTGGATGAATAAATAAAATGAAACACATGAATCAAAAAAGAATTATTGATAAAGGTTTGTTATCAGCCAGGTGCACAGTGCTTCTCTCCCCACCTGCTGGCCCCCCGGGGCTGCCTTCCTCCTCTCAGGGTGGCAGCACCACCTGGTGGTGACAAGGGCCAGTGGGACTTTGTGTCAGGAAGGACAAGGAGAGGTGAGAAGGAGAGAACACCGCAGGCCCCACAGGCTGGGCAGGGCCCAGGACGAAGTAGCTGACGCAGAGGTGTCAGGCTGGCCCATGGGCGCTTCATGAGAACAAAAGCTGTCCTGGGGGCCAGGGGGCAGGGTCTGGTGGCCACGGGGTGGCCATACAGTCCCAGGTCTGTTCGAGCCAGGAACTTAAATCGATGCTTCCAGAACATGCACAGGCCCTGCTGGGAAAGACGCACGATGGGCACACGGGGTTACGTAGGCTCTCAGCTCAGCCTCCGTGGGACGGTGTTCTTGCCCCGGGCTGTGGCCAGTGAACCCCCCTCCCACACATGCACACACAACTCCGACTCTGAGTTGCCTGGAATGGTGCCATGGAATGCCATGTAAGCCGTGTGTGTGTGTGTGTGTGTGTATAATTTATTTATTTTTTTGCCATGCAGCATGTTTGCTTGCCAGAGAGACACAGGCAGAAAGAGAGAATTCCTTCCTCCCCCCTCTAGGGGGAATGGCCATGCCACAGTCCCTTTTCTTCCATTCTCTCGAGAGTTTGGGAGCACACACGTGTGTGGCCTGTTTTTTCAGCCTGCCAGGTCTGGGGTTCTAACAACACTTGTAGTCGGCCACGTGGGATCCAGCCCCTTAAGAACCAGGCCAGCTGCTGGCCTAGCCCCACGGGTAATTTTGAATTCTCCAGTAGCCACATTAAAAAGTTAAAAAAAAAAAAAGAAAGAAAAGAAAAGAAATGAATTCAAATGATATATTGTGGGGAACCAGCAGTTAGCGTAATGGCTATGTCACTGGACTCCCACGTAGTCGACCACAGTTCGTGTCCCGGACCCGGTGGCTTAAAACTCACGCCGGGCGCATGTGCGTGCGTGCCCAAGATCCCGAGAGGAGAATGGAGGAGAAGGGATTGCGGAGTGACCATCCCCCCTGGGGGGTGATTTCTTGCTTTCTGTCTCTATGTCTCTCTGTGTCTGTCTGGTGAGTGCACACACCCTATAGCAAAAAAAACCTCCCCCCCCAAAAAAAAAATATATATATATTGTGCTGGGAGTCAGTAGGTGGCATAGTGGTTAAGGCGCTGGACTCCCACATGCCTTGCCACAGTCTGAGAACCAAATCTGGCAACTTGAAAATCATGCTGGGTGGAGGTGGCAAGCAGCATAGTGGTAGGACACTGGTCTGAACTGTGCTCCCAGGTCAGGCCCTCAAGGAGCAGCTGGCCCTGTGAAGCCCAACTTCCTGCCATTCCTGTCCCTGCTTCCCTCAGAGTCCCCCTTCGATCCCTCTCTGCTCATCTCCCAGCACCGTGCCCCCACTCCCTCCTGATTCTCCACCCTCTTTTCTCCCTCCTCCTCCCGCCCCAAGTCAGGCGCAGCTTCCGGCGGTGTCCTGGACACTTTCTACACCGCTGCAGACCTTTCTGGTCCAGCCTGGCCCGCCTCCCTTCTAAGAGCTGGCAGGGGCCCAAGACCCTGCTGCTCCAGGACCCCTGGGTGCTCATAGCTCCTAAGCCCCTTCCTCCCACCTCCATCACCGGGGGTCTCTGGCCACTCTCTCTACGTCCCCACTGCCCTCGATGCTGAGCACCAGGCTGGCGCCCAGAGCCCCCCAGCACGTGACAGCGGCATCCAGAGGAGTGGAGGGCCGTTCCCAGGTTCTCCCCTTAGGAAACTCCTCCACCTAATTCCCCAGCCCCCCGGCCCTTCCTCATCCTCCACAGGTGGCACCTGAGGGGGAGCGGGGTGACGAGGGGGAGGAGATGGGTGCTCGCACACCCCCGGCTCTGGGTCCCCAGCCTCAATACACCACCCAGCTCAGGAGGGTGACGGAGAGGGATGTCTCCAGGTGTGGCGGATGGTGGGACAGGTGCACCCCATCCATGGGCTGCTGCCCAGAGGCTCAGGGTAGGTAGGGACATCCACTTTGTCCCCGAGACTCCCATCCAGGCAGGGACAGCTTCTAAGAAGCCAAAATGCTTCTGACACCTGGGGCTGTGTTCCCCTGGCTGGAAGCGTGCAAGTCTCACCCTCAGAACTGGCCTGAGGCCTGCCTGACAGCTCTAGGCAAACTGGACTGTAGTGCTGCATCTAATGCACTGAGCCAGAAATCACGCCGTCTCTAAGCCACTGGCTGGACAGCCTGCAAGGCTCTCCCTTGCAGCTGGAAGCTGCTGGCCCTCCTGGGACCACAGCAGTTTCCACGGACAGCGCACCAACCCCCAGAGATAAGCCAGTAAACGCCACCTGCAAAAGGAGAGAACAGGCAACAAGAGAGCCGGAGGGAACCGGGGAGCCTGGGAGAGAGAGGCGAGTGCATGGCGGCTGGGCCGTGGTGCAGAACCGGAGAGGCTGCGGGAAAGGAGAGCCTTGCAGGGGGGCTACTGTTCCTGGCAGAGAGAAAGGAGGCCTCTGGAGGTCAGAGAGAGACACAAAGAGCAGACAGAGGGTGGGTCAGTGAGGACGCCTGAGCGCTGCTGCCCAGGGCCGCGGGCGGAGGGGGGCACTCGCCCAGGGCCCCGGTGCACCCCCCAAAGGGGCCCACCCCGTCTCAGGATGCCTGTGCTTTCAGGCAGGGAGCCGGCCCTGGACCTCGCTCATTGGCCTGGGAGGCCTCTTATGGCCTCAGGAGCAGAAACCACACACTGGGAGGACAGACGGAAGTGGGGAGCCGGGACCCCACGGTGGCACTGTCACCAGCATCTCCTTCCTAGTCATGACCCTGAGGGTGAGGATGCCCTTGAGACCTGAGCCTGAGGCTCTGCCCCTCAGGCCTCTGCACCCCAGGAGGGCAGCCATGGGCGCCACGCTGACTCACATTCTGCAACCCGAGGAGGCAAGCTCATCGGGCCAGGCCCCTGGGCAGGACCTGGGGTGGCCAGAAGGCCTCTGCGTGTCCTGTTCTCTAAGCATGCCCCGGGAGGTCATGATGCCACCAGAACAAGGACCAAGGCCATCTTATTCCCATGTCCAAAATGAAGACATGGAGGAAGAGGTGAGAAAAGGCCAGAGGAGGTGAGCCCTGGCCTGCTGGACAGAGCACCCTGAGACACCCACTCTGTCCACCTGCTCTTGGCAGTGAAGCCAGGGACTGAGCCCAAGGGGTTGCCCATGAAGGGCCCTATCGCTCTTGGGAGAAGACTGACAGGCAGCCTGGCCACAGCCTTGCCTGCCCTCCTTCCCACCCTTGCTGTCCTCACCACCTGCCACATGGGCCAGGGAGCACCGGGCCCAGCTGAGCTCCCCCAGCTCTGACCTCGGGTCTCAGGCATACTTGACGTGGGCAGAGACACGGCCGCAGGGTCCTGGGGCTCGCTCGCCAGCCGCTGCCCCGCACACATGGACTTGAGCATCTGGAAGACGGCCAGGGGGGCCACGTTCAGCTTCAGCAGGTCCACCAGGATCCTGGCGAGAACAAACAGGGTGCCCGGTGAGCCTTCCCTGCGGCGGGAGAGGCCTGCACCGGGCAACAGCAGGCTCCCAAACGGTAGGGGGCTCTTGCAGACCAGCGGTCCGGACCAGGACATATGGGGCCCGGATCTCAGGGTGACCGGGGGTCAGACGAGAGAGCCCTGATCGCACCCACGCCCGCTCACTTGAACACGTCGGGGTCGATAGCGCCGCCCGCTGCCTGCGCCAGCTCGTACAGCTCCATCTCTTCGGCGCTCAGCACCTTCTTCCGCCGCAGCGCGAGCTTCTGCCGGGCTGCCTCCAGCCCTTTTTTTTTCCCGCCCCGCCCCTCTCTGCCGAGCGTTCTCATTGCGCCCTCTACTGGCCTCGGCTGGCCATTTCTCTCTCTGCAGCGCCACTGTCAGTCCGGGGCAACCCCAGCCGGGAGGTCAGGGATCGGGACCATCTCCACGCCCGCGTTAGATACCCAGACATTTACTGAGCGCTTCCTGTGTGTCGGGGTGGCGTAAAGGGATGTCGTGGCGGACCGCGGAGGCGCGTTTCTTTTGGTCGTGCTCGCTTAGGTAGCAGCACCCGGCGCAGCGCCTGGCGCCCGCTGGACGAAAGCAATAGCGTGTAGTTGTGCCGCGCCTATTCACCACCAGAGGGCGCTCCTCCAGGGGGCGTAATAAACGGCCTCTGCTTACGCGCAGGCGCACGCCTTGCGGTGATTAAAAGCGCGAGCGCCCGGGCGAAAGGGAGCCAGAAGACGCCGTTGCGCACGCGCCATCCGCGGCGGTCCTCTTTCCCCACCGCCTCAACAAACCCAGCCGGCCTTCGCTGTGCGCACGCGCCTGTTGAGGCAGCATCCCGAAGGGGTAAGGGAGCTTTTCCCGCCTGGCCAAGGGGGCGTGACGCCGCGCGCCGCTTGATGACGACATTTCGGCGCCGGCTGGCCGAATGGCGGCTCCCGAGCCTGAGACGCGCGGCTCTGTGGGTCCCGCAGGTGAGTGGCCACGCGCCGGGGTATTCCCCGAGCCCCGCCGAGGCTGCCTCGGCTCCTCCACGAGCCCTGGGACTCGGGCCTGGCCCCGGCCTCCGGAGCCGGGCGGGACGGGCGGGCGGCGGACCGAGGGCCCGGCCTTGCCCACGCTCCCTCCGGGCCATGCCTGGCTACCCCTGCCCGAGCCTAGCCCGCGGGGCCCGGAGGTGCGCCGTTGGCGTCCGTCGAGCGAGTGGAGGGAAGGAGAGCTTCGAGTCGGGGCTGAGCCTCGACAGAGGAGGCGAGCGCGAGTGCAGCTGGACCTCCCCCCTGCACGGCTCGACTCCGGGCCTGGCTTTGCTCGTCTGGAGCGGGCGGCCCGGGGCTCCCTTCTCGCCGCAGTTGCGAGCACCGAACGGGGCAGGCTGCGGGTGGTCGGAGCGGCCCCGGGCGGCCTCGGCGTGAGCGCACTGGCCGCGTGCCCCGGGGACAGCAGGCACAGGGGTGTGATGCGGGGACGAGGCGGCAGCGGGGTCAGGAAACAGGGCGTCTGTCGGAGACACTCGTTGGACGTCTCTGGGCTTCATTCAGCCACGGCCCAGGGCGAGAGGCGCTCCGCCCTTGGCAGGGTCCATGGTTCACTTCTGAGTAGTGACGGAGGGGGTCAGGGTAAAGGTGGTGGTGTTTTTTCAAATAATTACTCATAGGGACCAGCAGGTGGTATATTGGCTACGTCGCTGGACTCCCATGTAGTCGACTGGGGCTCTAGTCCTGGACCCAGCGCTTAAACTCACACCGGGCGAGTATTCGTGCATGTCCAAGATCCGGAGAGAAGGGAGAGGAGAAGGGACTGTGGCGTGGCCATCCTCCCTGAGGGGTGATTTCTTGCTTTCTTTTTTTTTTTTTTTTTGGAGAGATTTTCACTGTAGGGCGCGTGCGCTCGCCAGACAGACAGAGAGAGACATAGAGACAGAAAGCGAGAAATCACCCCCCAGGGGGGATGGTCACGCCGCAATCCCTTCTCCTCCATTCTCCTCTCGGGATCTTGGGCATGCACGCACACGCGCCCGGCGTGAGTTTTAAGCCACCGGGTCCGGGACACGAACCGCGGTCGACTACGTGGGAGTCCAGCGACATAGCCATCACGCTAACTGCTGGTTCCCTTAATTACTTTGTTTTTAATTTGACCAGAGAGCAAGAGAGAGAAAGGGAAAGGGAGAAAGCAAGTGTCCAGGTCTGGGACTTGAGCCACAGGTAACCATTTGGGAGCCCAGTACCTTAATCACCCCACCACCTGCTGGCCCCAAAGTGTTTTATTTAACTCCACCGTAACAAATGGGTAACCAGTGTGAGTTAAGAATGGAAAACATCCTGGGGGTTGTCCCTGTTGCCAAGTGGCAGAGAGTTGCATCTCCTCTTACCAGCCAGCTGCGTGGTGGCCATCACACCCAGCCTCTCCCTGCACTGGACCGCCCGTTGTCACCTCAGTGCCTGTACTCCTTTGCATCGGGCCATTCATAAGACGTGGCAGACTTTTATGCTCAGTCCAAGCCTGGGTTTTGTCCATTTCTGACCTGGGTAGTCAGGGAGATTGAAATCTGGAGAGCTGGGGCAGCAGGTGGCATGGTGGTTAAGGAACTAGACTCCCACATGGCCCACCTTGGTTTAAGTCCTGGACCTGGCGGCTTGAAAATCACACCAGGTGTGTGTGTGCGTGATGTAGAGGAGATTTGCCCTTCTGTCTCTGAGAGAGTCGTGAGGTCTGTGTATTTGTGCATGTGCTCGCCGGAGAGTGAGACAGAGACAGAAATCACCTCCCAGGGGAGATGGCCATGCCACAATCACGTCTCCATTCTCCTTTTGGGATTTTGGGCACACATGCACACATGCTTGACTTGAGTTTTAAGCCACCAGTTCCAGGACTCAAACTGTGGTTGACTACGTGGGAGTCCAGCAACGTAACCGTTACGCCATCTGCTGGTCCCGTGTCAGTTCTTTTGACAGGCATGCACACTTATCCAGCATCTTTTTCTTTCCTCTCCCTTTCTTTGTTTTTAAAGTCTGTTATAGGGAAAATGCACTTGCCAGAGAGAGACAGAGAGGGAAGGAAGTCACCCGCAGGGGGTATGGCCACACCACAGTCCATTCTCCTCTCGGGATTTTGGGTACACACACGTATGTGCCCAGTGTGTTTTTCAAGCCCCTGGGTCCAGGACTCAAACTGCACAGTTGGTCATGTGGGATCCAGCTGCCTTAACCACCACATCACCAGCTGGCCACCCCCGCCCCCCCAGCATGTTTTTCAAGCTGTTGGGGCAGGGACAACCACTAGGCTATAAGGCTGCCTGCCCCTTTTAAGTTTCCTTCTGCAACCAAGAGAGAGCACCCCAAGTGGGTCTTGGAGTTAAGATTCACCCTTAGCCAGTCCTGGATCAGGGGCACTGTGCCTGCTGTACTGAGGGAGGCCCAGGTGTGAGCCCTGAGCCCTCCTCTGTAGGTTGGCCTCGGAGTTGCCTTTTTTTTTTTTTTTTTTTGAGGGTTTTTTGCTTTTTTTTTTTTTTTTTTTGAGAGGTTTTTGCTATTGGGTGTGCACTGGCCAGAAAGACAGAGAGAGAGACAGAGAGACAGAAAGCGAGAAATCACCCCCCCGGGGGGGTGGGTAGCCACACCGCAATCCCTTCTCCTCCATTCTCCTCTCGGGATCTCGTGCCCAGCGTGAGTTTGAGCCACTGGGTCCGGGACTCGAACCGCCGTCGACTACGTGGGAGTCGAGCAACGTAGCCATTACCCCAACTGCTGGTCCCAGAGTTGCCTCTTATGAGAACAGCATTTCTATGGAACATGGGAGCTGGCCGTGCAGTTACGGGAATGCTCTCCCGGGCATTGTGCAACGACATCTGTTCTCTTGTGTGGCAGATTTAAGACTTCCTTTGTTTTTTTTTTCCCAGTGGTTCCCTAAGGCAGCCGTTTCCGACTCTCCACGGGAGGCAGCCATGGCGTTTCCTCACCTGCAGCAGCCCAGCTTCCTACTGGTAGGTGTCACTCCGTGGGCGTCAGTGACCACACTTCTGTAGGTGACGGACTCCAGGCTTCCCTCCTCTGACTTGAAGAACCCTCTAGTGGCATTTTTAGGAGCACTGGATGGAAACAGCACTGGATTCAGGTGTAGAACACTTAAGCTTGAGTCTGTGTTCTTAGGACCGCAGGACGTAGGGGGTCACTGGACCTCTGAGTGCTGGTGTTTCTAGCTGTATGATGAGTGGATTTGAGCCCCCTGTTTTCTCCTAGCCAGAGTCCAGGGAGGAGCAAGAGAGTGACATATGCCAGAACTTTCACAGTTGTACACCCTGTGCCATTCTGGTTGTCACGGGGACTCTGGAGGTACTGCTGTACTGTGGGCAGCCAGACCGCACGTTAATTATTAAACGCAGTGCTGAGAAGTTATGTATGAGGCGAATATCAAAAGTGATGGGTCGGGACCAGCAGTTGGTATAACGGCTGTGTCACTGGTCCCAGAGCTGCCTTTTATGAGAACAGCATTTCTATGGGACATGGGAGCTGGCCGTGCAGTTACGGGAATGCTCTCCCAGCCCTCCCATGTAGTCAACTGCAGTTTGAGTCCAGGTCCCGGTCGCTTAAACTCACGCCGGGCACGAGTGTGTGCGTGCCCAAAATCCTGAGAGGAGAATGGAGGAGAAGGGATTGCGGCGCGGCCATCCCCCCTGGGGAGGGATCTCTTGCTTTATGTCTCTCTGTCTCTGTCTTTTTGGTGAGTGCATGCACCCTATAGCAAAAACCTCCCTCCCCCCCCAAAAAAAAAGAAGAAATGAAGGGTCCTAATTTCAGTTCCCAGGAGAGCTGTTTGTGAATGTTGGAAGGACATTCGTCTTGGTGCGTCTCACTAGATCCAGCAAGTCTGACCCATGGCCTGAATAGCCCATGTCTCCGTCCTGACTCAGGCCCCCACAATCTACTGTTATTTGAAAGCAAATAAGGCCTTAGCTATCCTTGGGCAGAGCCCTCTTGGTTGAAATTCTTGGTCTTTCTCCCAATCATTTTTTTCTGAGAGAGATTTTTGCTATAGGGTATATGTGCTCGCCTGAAAGACAGAAAGCGAGAACTCACCCCCCCTTTCTGTCTCAGAGACAGAAGGCAAGATCATCCTTCTGGGGATGGCCATGCCACAATCCCTTCTCCATTCTCCTCTCAGGATTTTGGGCACGCACACACCAGCCCGGTGTGAGTTTTTAGCTGCTGGGTCCGGGACTGGATCCACGGTCAGCTCCGTGGGAGTCCAGCGACGTAACCATTACGCCATCTGCTGGTCCCCCTCCTAGTCTCAATCCATTTGCACAAAGGCCGCTTTTCTCACACAGTCAGGGTGCTTTCCCCATCCCATGCCTCCGGCAGGTCTCCTCAGCTCTTAGCTCAGTGTGGTCTAGCCTCTCCCTCCTCCATGGTCTGTGTCAGCGCAGCCGAAGTCGTCATCGTAGCCGGCTTTGTGTTTTGCCTGGGTTCCAAAGTTTATTTTTTTCATGAGAGAGAAAGAGAGACAGGCACTTGTGCCACGATCCATCCCCACCCTGAGCGGACGCAGATCACGCTCGGCCAGGTCTCAGGCCCCAAACCCAGGGCCTTTCCCGCGTGGGTCCATTTACGTTACTGCTCTGCCACCACCTGGCTCCTAGCCTGCCTTTTCTTCCCGGGTAGTGAGTTCAGTGGGTCCATTCCCTGCCAGATACAGGACCGCTCAGGCCGCTGTAGCCTCGCTGTGTTGGGTATTCGCACTGATGCCCATGGTAGTGTAAGCACCGAAGGCCGGTCTGTTAGGAAATTGCCAGTTAGTTTGTCAGGCTCAGTGAGAACCCCGGGGTCTGTGCGAATGCCCTCCGCACACAGTTCTCTCCTGGCTGTGGGGCTGATCTGAGGACTGCCCCTCCTTAGGCACAGGCAGACGGCAGTTGTGTTCTGGTAACAGGTAGTGCCCTGGGGTAACGGGGGCTGCCCGAGGGAGGGTGCCGGGAAGCCTGCCTGCGAACGGCCGTCTCGAGCCTAGATGCGTAGACTCTTCTGGCAACGTCTTTGAGCCACTGACATGAGCGCTGTCGGCTGCTGGAGAACCAGGCCAGTGGCCACGTGGCTCACGCTTGAATTTCTGCTTGACTTGAGCCAGAAGCTGAGCGAAGGCTGCTGAGCTGGCCCACCGGTGGCTGGATTCAACTCTGTTGACAGGTTGACAGTGTGGTTTGAGTCTCAGAGTCTTGAAAAACACTCTGGTGCATGTGTGCGCATACCCAGAATCCTGAGATGAGAAAGAGAAGGGTTTGTAGTGTGAGCCTCTCCAATAGGGTGGTTCTTTCTCTCTATCTCTAGCAAGTGCACATGCCCTATAGCAAACTTTCAAATAAAAAGCCGAAGCATGAATCATTCGACACATGCTCTCCTTTGTCCTGTCTCCTAGGCTAGCCTGAAAGCCGACTCTCTAAACAAGCCCTTTGCACAGCGGTGCCAAGACTTGGTTAAAGTCATTGAGGATTTTCCAGCAAAGGTACGGCTCTGCCAGCATCTGGTAACCCAGTCCATCTGCTGCCCTCGCAGTTGGCACCACTGCCCCGGGGCTCCCGTGGGTGCAGGGCCGTTCCTGGGAGTCTCCTAGGGAGTGACCCCTCAGACGGAGCTGGGTGCAGTGAGCACAGCTCCACGCGGAGCCTCTGCAGCCGGGTCACAGCGTCGCCTGTCCACCGTTTCAGGAGCTGCACACCATCTTCCCGTGGCTGGTGGAGAGCATTTTCGGCAGCCTGGATGGCATCCTCGTCGGCTGGAACCTCCGCTGCCTCCAGGGGCGCGTGAGCCCTGTGGAGTATAGCATTGCCATGGAGTTTCTAGATCCTGGGTAAATAGGTTTGTCCCTAGAGGTACTGGGTGCTTTCTTGCGGCAGTTCCATTTTCATTATAAATTGCTCTATTTCATAAAGTTAAGAAACAGCCAGACAGCGTGCAACTCACCTGCCCTGTTTGTGCGTTTAATTTTGTGTCCAGTGGCCCAATGATGAAGTTGGTCTACAAACTTCAAGCCGAAGACTATAAGTTTGACTTCCCCGTCTCCTACCTACCTGTGAGTAAGCTGTGGTGGTGGGAGTCGCACCTTGGCAGAGGACCCTGTGTGGAGCTGTCAGGCGGGTAGGCGGGGCCCTACAGGGTGGTGGCAGTGGGCAGGAGAATGTCACAGCATCTGTTTGGACTCATGGAGCTTCACAGATGAGAACTTGCCACAACCACCTTGTTTTTCCTATTTAGAAATGTTTATTGCTTTTCTGGATAGGTTTTTGCTATAGGGTGCGTGCACTAGCTCACCAGAAAGACAGAGACAGAGAGACAAAAAGTGAGACATTACCCCCCGTGGGGATGGCCACACCGCAGTCCCTTCTCCGTTCTCCTCTCGGGATCTTGGGTACACATGCACACATGCCCGGTGTGAGTTTAAGCCACTGGGTCTGGGACTCAAACCGCAGTCATCTACCTGGGAGTCCAGTGACATAGCCATTACTCCAGATGCTGGTCCAAAAAATGTTTCTCTCTTTATTTGCTCCGAGAGGGAGTGCACATGTGCGAGCCCCCATGGGTTCTGGGTGCTGTGACCCAGCTTCAGCTGCAGCCCCAGCCCACGGGCACGTTTGTGTCTGGTGTGCCCAGGGAGGTCTCTGGGAGTGAGCCAGGAGCCTTCCTGTGGGCCAGCCTTGCAGTGCTGTGTTTTACCATCATGTCACTGTCTGGCCTCCTAATTACTTTTTTTTTTTTTCCTTTTGTGCTAGGGAGTATGCACTCACAAGATGGAGATAGAGAGTGAGAGGGAAAGTGAGACAGTGCCCCCTAGGGGCGATAGCTACGCCACAGTCCCTTCTCCATTCTCCTCTAGGATTTTAGGCAGGCACGCACACACACCTGGCATGATTTTCAAGCCTCCGAGTCCAAGACTAAAACCATGCAGTTGGCCATGTGGGTTTCAACACCTTAACGTCCACCCCACCTGCTGCCCCCTACCTCTGTTACTTTTTAAAATGTATCACCATAGGGACCAGCAGATGGTATAATGGTTACATTGCTGGACTCCTGCGTCGTTGACTGCAGTTCAAGTCCCGGAACCAGAGGCTTAAAACTCACACTGTGTGCATGTGCGCCCAAGATCCCGAGAGTAGAATGGAGGAGAAGAGACTGGCTTCGCCATCCCTCTGGGGGGGGCAGTGATTTCTCACTTTCTGTTTCTGTCTCTCTCTGGCAAGCATACGTACTTTATAGCAAAAATCTCTCAAAAAGAAAAAAAGCAAACATTCTGAAGTCAGCTAACAGAGAAGGCGATGTGCTGCCAGGAGGGTCCTGGCCAGACCACAGCAGGGCCCTGTGGGCAGGTGCTCTGTGCTCCTGAGCCTCTGATCCTTCGGAGCGACTGGACGGCCAGCCTGCTCAGAGGGTCGGAAGGGCCAAAGGGGTGAGACGTGTGTAGCCACCGGCCTTGCTGCTAGTAGGTTTCGTGGGGTGGCAGGAGTTCTACCCGAGCGCCACCCAGAGAAAGGACGCTGTCCGATCAGGCAGGCTTTGTGCCAGGCTTCTCATGGGGCACGGCACCGGCGCCTGCCCCACCACCCACCTCCCTCCCTGCAGGGCCCTGTGAGGGCGTCCATCCAGGAGCGCGTCCTCCCTGACAGCCCTCTGTACCACAACAAGGTCCAGTTCCCGCCGGCCGGGGGCCTCGGCCTGAACCTGGCTCTCAGTATCCTTTGCTGGGCCGAGGGTGGTGCGGGTGGGGCGGCCCAGTGTCCTGAGCGTTTGTCCCTGACGTTGCCGTCAGATCCGTTCGAATACTACGTGTTCTTCTTCGCCTTGAGCCTCATCACTCAGAAGGTACGGAAGGGATGCCTGATCCGCACTCATTTTCCCAGAGCCGACCAGGAAGGGTGGGGGGCCTGGCCTGGGACCTCCCTCCGATCGCTGCTGCGGGCAGCTGGGGTGGGCGCACTGACAACCAGCTTTGTTTCCCAGCCGCTCCCTGTGTCCCTGCACGTCCGGACTTCAGACTGTGCCTACTTCACGCTGGTGGACAGGTACCTGTCCTGGTTCCTGCCCACCGAAGGCAGCGTCCCCCCACCGCTCGCTTCTAGTCCCGGGGGCACCAGCCCCTCGCCAGCTCCCAGGTGAGGCTCCCTGGCATTTAGGGAGGGGTCCAGTCAGTGGCATGGCCCACAGGGACATTAGTTGTACTCCTTCCAGGCTGAGTCAGTTCTGTGGGATCCAGTGCCTTAACAACCACACACCTGCTGGCCCGCCAGTGTGGCTTTTTTTTTTTTCTTAAGGAATTATTTACTTAATTTTGTTTATCATTATTACTATTTTTTAAAATTTGCTATAGGGCACATATGCTCACCAGACAGAGATAGAGAGAGAAAGCCGCCATATCCGGGACTCAAACTGCGGTTTGCCATGTGGGAGTCCAGCTTCTTAACCACCACGCCACCTGCTGGCCCACCAACACCTTGTCTTTTAAGCTGCCAGGGCCAGGCTTTGTGGAATTTGACTTCCTTAACCCCTGTGCTATAGGGCTGTCCCTGGAGTAGCACTTTTAATTCCCTTTAAGAACTTCTCCTTTGACAGCATAGCAGATTGATACAAGAGACCTAACTTTGGGCCTATCTCAGCTTTTTTTAAAAAATTTTTCCTGGGGCCGGCAAGTGGCATGGTGGTTAAAGGCGTTGGACTCCCACACGCCCTTCTCCTCCATTCGCCTCTCAGGCTCTGGGGCACATATGCACGTGTACCCAGTGTGATTTTTAAGCTGCTGGATCTGAGACTTGAACCATGAAGTTGGCCATGTGGAAATCCAGTGCCTTAACCTCTATACCACCCGCTGGCTCCATCTCCGCTTTTGACGTCGGTCTTTCACTAAGTTTAGTCATTTCTAACTTGATTTGAATTGAACACTTACAGGTCATTGTAAGGTTCTTGGTTGGTCTGATTTTTTCTCTTTTTTAATTGCCGGGAGGCACGTACACTAGCGGGGGGGGGGTGCAGGGAGGGAGAAGGCACCCCACAATGGGCTTCGGTCATACCACAGCCCCTTCTCCATGTTTCTATCCTGTCAGGATTTGGGGCTCGCGCGTGCGCGCACACACACACAGGCATCCAGTATGGTTTAAACTTTATTTATTTTAATTTGACCAGAGAGAGAGAGAGGGTAAGTGAGAAAGCAAGCCACCAGGTCCAGGACTCGAACTGTGGTCAGCCATGTGGGAGTCCAGCACCCTCAACCATCACGCCACCTGCTGGCCTCATCCAGTGTGTTTTCTCAGCTGCCAGGCTGGGATTTGAACCATGTTGGGGCATGTGGGATCCGGCTCCCTTAGCCACTAGGCCATAGGGCATGTGTGCTCTCCGAGGAGAGACATTAAGAGACAGAGGGGAAGTGAGAAATCACCCCTGGGGGGATGGCCACGCCACAATCCCTTCTCCAGTCTCCTCTCTCAGTTTTGGACATGCACACACGTGCCTGGTGTGATTTTCAAACTGCCAGGTCCGGGACTTGAACTGCAGTTGGCCATGTGGGAATCTAGCACCTTAACCACCATACCACCTGCTCGGCTCCACATCAGCTATTAATAGGACGGTTGCCAGGTGGTAGTTTTCTCGTCTATCCCTCCCATATTTATTTGTGGGTACTCTGTGGTTAAAAAAAAGACTTTTCTCTTGACCATTTGTTTATTGAGGCATATCAGCTTGGACCTGGAGGTCGCTGTGTGATTCAGCAGGTTGTAATCTATTGCTGACATCATTTTTCTTTTTTAAAGAACTATTTTTTATTTCATCTTACTTAATATTATCATTATATGTTTAAAATTTGACCAGAAAGAGAGAAGGTAAATGAGAAAGCAAGTTGACTGGTCTGGGCCTTGAACCATGGTTGGCCATGTGGGAGTTCAGCACCTTAACCACCACTCCACCTGCTGGCCCCACTGACATCATTTTTTAATTTTTTTAAATTTGTTCCATGAGAGAGGGAGATAGAGAGAAACAGGCACCCACAAAAGGTCTTCACACTGCAGTCCACCCCCAGCCTCAGCTTTCAGATCACAGACACACACACGTGCAGGCGTGCTCAGGGAGGTCCTCGGATGTGCACCCGGGACCCTGCCCTCGGGGGTCTGGGTAGGCTGCCACAGTCCCACCCCTGGCCCCGGCAGACTGCTCGTGGCTCGGCCAGCAGGAGCCCACGTTCAGACCACTCCTACGTCTCCCTCAGGACGCCCGCCGTGCCCTTTGCATCCTACGGCCTGCACCACACCAGCCTGCTGAAGCGGCACATCTCACACCAGACCTCTGTGAACGCAGACCCCGCCTCCCACGAGATCTGGAGGTCGGAAACCCTGCTGCAGGTGAGGGCTCGGCCTCCCTTTCAGCATAGCCTGCTTGGCTACCTCCCCGCCGGGCAGAGTCCCAGAGATGGCTCATCGGCCTGAGGGCGTCTGAACGTTGAGCTCTTCCTACCGTGGCATGTAGAACACCGGGGAGGAGACTCTGCCTGCCCGTCTAACTTACATGTCGTTGGCAGGGGCTTCCATCCCCAAGAGCCCCTGACCACGAGAGGTGGATATTGTTTTCCCTTTATTGTATTTTATTTGTATTATTGTTATTTTAAACGTTTGATTGCTATACAACATTTGGCTCTTACAGAGAGCGTACCCAACATGAAAGGCATCTCAGCCCTGTGCAGTTGAGAATACCACACACATCCGTGGGACAGAAATGGCTTCTTACCTATTGGGGGTTTTGTTTTTCTCACAGTGATACAGTTGCGTCTCTTGGTTCCCAGTGGTCTGTGTAGACATCCTGTCCGCCCTCCCTGGACCCCAGTCCTCCCTTGTCATTGGAGTTTCTCTGTGATCGCTATCATGTGGCTCTCACGCCTTTTCAGTGAGGAGCCTGTGAAGCTTCCCCCTTGGTCACAGGGAGCCCCGCCACCCCGTTCTGTGTCACGAGATCCACGTGGGAGGTGGCAGAGTCCCTCGGCTTCTACCTTTCCCACAGGCCTGAGCTAGCTCACCCCGGTGCTGCCCCCTTCTGAGCCTTGGTCACCCCCCAGGCCCTCAGCAGGTGTGGTCAGACTGACATGTCCAGGTTGGTCCAGGATCCAACCCAGGCCTTCCCGTATGGCTCAAATGTCACAGTAGCACCCTGCCAACTACCTCTGCTGGGTCCAGGATCCCTTTTTTATTTGATTTTAATTTTGCTATGGGGTATGCACTGTCCAGAGAGAGAGAGGTAAGGGAGAGGAGAGTGAGAAAGCAACACCCCCCCCCCAGGGCGATGGCCACACCACAGTCTCTTCATCCTCCTCTTCAGATTTTGAGTACACGTGTACACCTGCCATGTTTTCCCTTTTTTCCCTTATGTTTTAAAGAAGTACTTCATTTAACTTTATTTACTTTTGTTTGTTTGTTTCGGAAAGGTTTTTGCTATAGGGCGCATGCACTCACCAAAAAGGCAGAGAGACAGAGGCAGAGAGACAGAAAGCGAGACATCACCCCTCCCCCGCCAGGGAATGGCCACGCTGCAATCCCTTCTCCTTGGGATCTTGGGCATGCACGCACATGCGCCCGGTGTGAGTTTAAGCTGCCAGGTCTGGGACTCAGACCACGGTCGACTACATGGGAGTTCAGCGACACAGCCATTATACCAACTACTGGTCCCAACTTTATTTATTTATTTTTAATTCGATCAGAGAGAGAAAGGGAGAGAAAGGGAGAGAGGGAATGGAAGTGAGAAAGCAAGTCGCCAGGTCTGGGACTCGAACACCTGCTGGCCCCTATTTATTTTTTAATTTGACCAGAGAGGGACAGAATGAGAGAGAGAGAGTGAGAAAGCAAGCTGCCAGGTCTGGGACTCAAACTGTGGTCCACCTGCCATGTTTTTCAAGGTGCTGGATCTGGGACTTGAACCATACAGTCAGCCTTTTTTTTGGGAGAGGTTTTTGCTATAGGGCCCATGTGCTTGCCAGAAAGACAGAGCCAGAGAGACAGAAAGCAAGAACTCACCTCCCGGGGGGATAGCCACGCCACAATCCCTTCTCCTCCATTCTCCTCTCAGGATCTTGGGCACGCACGCACGTGTGCCCACTGTGAGTTTAAGCCACTGGGTTCGGGACTTGGACCACAGTCGACCACGTGGGAGTCCAGTGACATAGCCGTTAGGCTAACTGCTGGTCCCCCGATAGTGTCTTTTGGGGGGGGGGGGGGTTTTCACTATAGGGCGTGCGCTCTTTTTTAGAGAGACATAGAGACAGAAAGCGAGAAATTACCCCCCAGGGGGGATGGTCATGCCGCAATTCCTTCTCCTCCATTATCCTCTCGGGATCTTGGACACGCACGCACACGTGACCAGCGTGAGTTTTAAGCCACCGGGTCCGGGACACGAACCACGGTCGACTACGTGGGAGTCCAGTGACATAGCCATTACGCCAACTACTGGTTCCCCCGATAGTATCGTTTTTTGTTTGTTTGTTTGCTTTTTTGAGAGAGGTTTTTCACTATAGGGTGCGTGCGCTCGCCAGACAGACAGAAAGCGAGAAATCACCCCCAGGGGGGATGGTCACGCCACAATCCCTTCTCCATTCTCCTCTTGGGATCTTGGACACGCACGCACACGTGACCAGCGTGAGTTTTAAGCCACCGGGTCGATAGTATCGTTTTTTGTTTGTTTGTTTGCTTTTTTGAGAGAGGTTTTTCACTATAGGGTGCGTGCGCTCGCCAGACAGACAGAAAGCGAGAAATCACCCCCAGGGGGGATGGTCACGCCACAATCCCTTCTCCATTCTCCTCTTGGGATCTTGGACACGCACGCACACGTGACCAGCGTGAGTTTTAAGCCACCGGGTCCGGGACACGAACCACGGTCGACTACGTGGGAGTCCAGCGACATAGCCATTACGCTAACTGCTGGTCCCCCCCTTCCCCCCGCCCCATAGTGTCTTTTGATGTACAGAAGTCTTGACTTTGATGAAGTCTAGTTCTCTCTTTCCAGGAGTTTATGGTTTTAGTTCTTTTTAGGTTTTTGATCCATTTTAAGTTAGATTTTGCATGTGGCGTAGGTGAGGGTCCCATTTCCTTTTGCGTGTGGGTAACCTGTTTTCCCAGCGCCATTTGCGTAAAGCGTGTCCTTTCCCCATTGAATGGTTGTGGCACCCCCGTTGAAAAATGACTGGACTGGCTGATCCTCTTTTGCAGGTATTTGTTGAAATGTGGCTTCATCATTATTCCTTGGAGATGTACCAGAAAATGCAGTCTCCCCATGCTAAGGTAGGTCTCTGCGCTTGGTCTTCCTGATTCGTCCCTGGCCTCAGTCCACCTGTAGTCTCTGTCCCAGATCTGAGCTAGTGACAGGCCGAATAGGGGAAGCTCATGCTGAGTGAGCGGTAGGCGCTGGCCTCCAGTTCTGTGGGGGCTTCTGTCCTGAGCCAGGGCTCTGAGGCCTGTAGGTTTCCCCCTTCTCGGCTCCTCTCCTTACAGCTTCCGGAGCCCCCTCCCCGGCAGCGGGATCAGATGAGGCTGTGGAGTGCTTGCTCTGGGTGGGGGAGCTGCAGGGGTCCTTGTAGGTCATGTCCCGGTCTGTCCCCTCCACCGTCAGCTGTGCCTTCGGTGTGTGGTGGTGGCCTAGGCACACCCCGGTGACCTTAGACCTCCCTTACAAAATAGCAAGCAGCTGTTTTGGTGGTGGGTGGGGCCTGGTACCGTCCTGCACGCCCCCAGCCTGCCTCCTCCTCCTTCCTCCTCCTGGCCCTTCCCAGACCGCAGACTGGTTTGCAGAGACCCTGGGGTCCCTCCTGAGATCACTGTCCCTAGGGCTGGCATCCCACTCAACTCAGGGTCAAGCAGCTCTGCTCAGTCAGTGAACAGCGGGGTGGGGGCGCCTAGACTCAGTCTGTGAGGAGCTCGCATCACACCAGGCCACAGGCCCTGCCAAAGGCACGCTGGCCACGTGGCCGTCTGCTGCCCGTGACCTCTGTGTTCCGTCTGCTCCATAGACTTGCACTTTGTCACGGCTGGACAAAATTCTGGGGCGCTTCCTTAAGAATGAAGGACCTATGGGTGATGGAGTTGAAACTGAGAAGGGGGTCCTTGGGCTCTCCCTGGTTCAGGGTCTTCCTACAGAGTCTCTGCAGCCAGTTCTGCAGCCTCTGCGCTGCCTCGTGCAGGCTGGGGTGCCACCCCTGCCATCGCTCTCAGAACAGCGGCCACCCACGTCTGCAGCCTGAGCCTCTCGAGTCAGCCCGCGGCACTTCCCTATCCCCAGAGCAAACTCACTGCATGATCCCGGCTGGCACCTGGGAGCCCCCCACATCTGCCCTGGGCTCCCCGCGGCTCTGGAAGGCTTGCTCAGCCTTGTGCATGCGGCTGGACCTGGCCGGGGCAGGGGCAGGGGCTGCTTCGCTGCATGGCCTCCTGTCTGCTGCCTGCCTGCCTGTTTTCTCCTCTGAGCAGCAGAAGCGCTCACTTTCGAGGGCCGACCAGAAAGGCCCTCCAGGCTGTCCCTGCTGGAGCTGGAGGTGCTTCCCTCTTGTTCCCACATTGGCTTCATTCGGGCCAGACCTCAAGTAGGTGAGACCCGCTCAGCATGACGGGCAGTGGAGGGCCAGGTGCCCACAGAGGCTCTGCCCTTCACTTCTGCTCCTTGAAGCAGGAAACGAAACCTGGGGAAGGCTGGGCGGGAGCAGGGAAAGACAGTGGGGGCAGTGCAGTCCCCCAAGGCCCCTGTGTATTTACCCAGGCCTGCGTGCACCTGCCTTCAGGGATCCTTGGCAGTCCCGCCCCACCCTGACTTCTGGATGCACCAAGCACGGCTCCCGAGGTCACATTCCACTGCAGGCTGGACCCAGGGCACCTGTTCACTCCGCTACAGGCTGGTGGGCACCAAGCAGGCCGTGGTGGGGCCGCCTGCACTCCCCAGGCAGGGACCGGGATCCGTTGCTCCCCTAGAGCTGCAGTTGAGCCTGGTCTGGTGGGAGGGAGGCCTCGAGGGGCGATGCCTCCAGCTGCGCTCTTTCCTGCCCTCTGCAGTCTCCTTGGCATCTGGCATGTGCGTGCTGACCTCTCCTGTGTGCGGCTGGTGGGCACGTTGCTCGGGCGGGAGGCCTGGCCCTCACCGGGCAGACTGTGCACCAGGCCAGCTCTGGGCTGCTCTTGGGCTTGGCTGAGGGGGTGCTACCACAGGTCGCAATGCTGCAGGGAGGTGGATGGGGCCAGACCTTCAGGCCTCAGTAATCAGAGGGCCTCCCATGAGGCCCTGGGCCGTCCCAGTCTCAGGGTTCCTGCTGCCTCTGGGTGTGTGGCTGGTGCCAGATTCTCCAGGGCTCCTGTCCTGCCCTTGGGGACTCTTACCTGGAGGGGATCCAGTGAGCTAGGAGAGGCAGCACTCACAGTCCCCCGAACATGGAGTGTGGAGGACGGGGGTGGGGGCTGCTGGGCTGAGCCGGTGCTCCGCTCCATGCTGCCCATCCCTGACCGCCCGGTTCCCAAGGCGTCGCCTGGTTTTAGATGCGTAGGAATGATTGCCCCCAGCACACAGCCTGGGGAGCTCCGCGAACGTCATGCCCCTTTCTGGGCAGAGCCCTCCTCTAGAGCAGGCTTCGCTGAGCTTGGGACCTTCAGGGCCCTGGTGGCTGCAGCGTGTCCCGGCAGCACAGTGGGCTCAGGGGCGTGGGGAGAGCAGGTCCCTCTGGAAGGCAGTGAGTTTGGCTGACCTTGGACAGCGGGTGCCTCCCACCAGGACCTGGCCCAGGCGGGCCTGGCCACAGCATCTAGGCTGCTGAGGGGGCGGCATCTTGCCGGCCTGCAGCTGTTGGGCTGTAATTGTTTGAATTGTCACTGACGGCGCTTTTGTTGTTATTTTTGTGTGTGTTTTCTCCTCTGGGCTCGTTCTCACTGTTCCTTTCTCTCCCGCCCTCCCATGTCCTGCCCCGTCTCTCCCCTTCCCCACCCCATCCTCTGCCTCCCGCCTCCTCTGGCCTCTCTCCATCTCGCTGTCTCAGCTGGAGGCTCTGCACTACCGGCTCAGTGTGTCCAGCGCCCTCCACGGCCCTGCCCAGCCCAGCCTCCAGGCCCTCCACGCCTACCAAGTACTTCCCGCCCATGGTGGACGCCACCAGTGCATGGCAGTGCAGTGCAGTGCGGGGCTGGCTCCCAGCTTTGCAGCCGAGCCTGGTGGAGGGTGTGCAGCCCAGCGAGGGAGCGAGACACCTGGTCCTAGCTGGCTGTGGGGTCGTAGGCTCTGCCGAGCTGAGCCCTCAGCTGGCGGAGGGCTCCGTGCTCAGCCCTGGCTTGGGTAGCTGACCTGGTCGGGCCTATGCAGTGGCCTGACTTGCCCTATGGTGCAGGGTGACAGAGGGGGCAGCGGCCCTGGCCTTGGGTGGTGTGGGCTCGGTCCCATTCGGAGCTGTCATGCAGCCTGTGCGAGGCAGGGGTAGGGAGCCCAGGGCTTGGCCCACAGAGACTGCCAGTCCTTGACAGTCCAGCCAGAGCCTGGCCTTCCTAGTCAACCCTAGCCACTTGTAGACCCCTCTCCAGGCAGACAGGGTGCAACCTTGTGGAGGTGGCGGTCCTCCTGGCAGACACGGGGTGTGGGGGGCCCTGAGGTCGGCGAAGCAGAGGTGGCTGATGTGTGAGAACAACAGAAATGCAGAACCGGGCCTGGGTCTGTCCAGTTCACCCTGCGAGGAGCACACAGCAGTGGAACTTGGATTTGAGCCCCAGATGAGAAAACGTGGCATGGCCAGCACTGCCGGGCGGGCTGGCGACTGCAGCACGGGGGTGGGGGCTCCTGCTCAGCAGAGCTGAGGGCAGGAGGGGCAGCACGTGGCGGCCGGCACTCAGTAGGGCCTGGGCAGACAGCTGGCTCCCTTCAGCCCCAGTGGGGAGGTCAGGATGGAGGGACTTGCCGAGGGTTAGGGCTCTTGAGAGGCTGGGCCCAGTGGGGAATGCCAGGGGAGCCTCAGGCCGGGGAAGAAGGAGGCCAGTGTGACTGGGCAGAGACCGGCGGGGGTGGGGCCAGCTTGAGCCCAGCCAACCCGGCGGGAAATGAGCCAGGCCCTCCAGAGCCTGCAGAAGGGCGAGGTGAGGCAAGGCTGACGCACAGGCAGAGCACACGGCGTCCTGCGTGTGCCATGTCTGGAACCAAGGGCTGATGCCGTGGCTCAGGGTCCCAGTCGGGGCCAGGCTGGCCTGGAGAGGGGATGCTCCTGGTGGGCATTGCGGCACGGGGCCTGGCCAGTCCTGTCGCATTTGCGGCCCTCCAGAGCCTGCAGAAGGGCGAGGTGAGGCAAGGCTGACGCACAGGCAGAGCACACGGCGTCCTGCGTGTGCCATGTCTGGAACCAAGGGCTGATGCCGTGGCTCAGGGTCCCAGTCGGGGCCAGGCTGGCCTGGAGAGGGGATGCTCCTGGTGGGCATTGCGGCACGGGGCCTGGCCAGTCCTGTCGCATTTGCACCGCCTCTCGTCCTTCCTTACCTCAAAAACAAGGCGGCCTCGCTGCACGGGGACGTAGCATTACAGATGAGCAGGAACAAACGCCGCGGTTCCATCCTGGACTCGCTGGCCATGGGCGTGTCACCAGGCCTGGACCAGCATTGGCATGCCAGGAGACCTGAGTGACTGGGCACTGAGCAGTGGCCCACGTGTGGCCTGCCGCCCCCAGGGTAGCAGTGCAGGCTCGCTGGGCCCTGAGTGCCAGGGCGGGTGGAGAGCAGAGATCTGCCTGGAGACGGGGGATACGGGGGGCTGCCTGC